CCTTATAAGTAACAAATACTTTATTCCTAATTAGTATTAAATTTGCTCGTATAAATATCATTACATTTGCATATTGATCTGACCCGACCTGTCTTAGAATAAGGATTCGTGAGGCAATCTCACACAAGTGTGATCATTAATTATATAAAAAAATATCATATTTCCAAAATATTTATCACCTTTCAGTAAAATATTCATGATGTGAGCCGCACGTGATTTATTTGCCGGCCGGGCGTGTCGTGGAATAATCATTATTGTGTGGACGACCATGCTCCACATAGCTGTGTGGACGACCATGCTCCACATAGCTGTGTGGACCATATTATTAAATAATGTACGTCCAAAACACAAATAATGTACTTTTAATATATTAAAAATGTACATTGTATTCAGAAAAAGTACATTATTTAAATACTAAAAATATATTATTTTTTATTTTGTACATTCAATAGACAAATAATATACATTTAGTATATTAAAAATATACTAATATTTTTTGTTATGATCCGTATAACGCTGTGTGGATCATGATCTACACAATAATTTACCGGGGTTGGAGTGGATTAAGAGCATCCTTATGAGCGATTTATTTGGAGTTTATGTCAGAGAAAGAACTTGAGAATGATTTCTTGTACTGATGTGATGAAGAGATATTAGAGAAATATATCTTCGGTAAGATCAGAGATATTGCAGGAGATGGGTTTGAAAAAAAAAAAAAAACGTTGAAGAAGCGCGTTTGTGCGCACTTTGCTCCCCAGCGGGCGTGTGTTCCCTACGCGCCAGTTGGGCCCGTCAGAGTGGCCGCCACTCTGGCTTTTTGGTTTTTTTTTTTTTTTTTTTTTGTATACTGTCAGAATATTATTTTACCATTAATTTTTTTTTTCTTCCCTCTTATCTTCTCTTCCGTAATCACACTTACAAAAACTCATTAAAAAAAAAAAGTCTATACTATAGATGCTCTAATGCAATGGTAGAAGCGTACAATGCAATGGCAAAATTGTGATTAGGAGGAAAAAAAAAGGGTGAAATGCTAGAACACTTTATTCAAGGCATGTCACGAAGTGATTAGGCTATCACTACACCCACTTCTTTTATGGCGTCCGGTAGGGAGGGGAAAGCTCCACTAACAGGGACAGCCGACGTCAGCGCACCAGGAGCAGCCAATCACAGGCCGGCAACGTTTCAACGCTTCAGATGCTTTCCCCTCGTTACGTGCTGTTACCTGTGATGACAGGCGGACAGCTAAGCTCGGATGCATCTTTCCGCCACTTGGCACAATGGGGGACAGTTTGCCCGCTGGCTTTGGATGAGTCCTCTCCGCGTCTGAAAACGTCTTGTACAATTGTGCTTATCTATTATCAGCTCCGATCCTGTCAATAAATTATTAATATTTTATTGAGTTCTATTACATACACTTCCAAATTATACTCTCTAAATTTTACTCCTGATATGAAGGGTACGGGCGTAAATAAGCCGAGCGGTTCGCAGCGAGCGGTTTGCGAGCTGCTCGGTCAAAGCACGACTCGAGCTCGGTCAAAATCGAACTCGAGCCGAATTCGAGCGACTCGTTTATTAAATGAGCTGAGCTCGAGTTCAATATTCTAGGCTCGTGGTTCATCGAGCCGCTGGCAAGCCATAATTAAATAAATAGATAAATATTATATATATGGTAAGGATTAATGACTACTATTGACTTGTAATTAAAGTGGAGTTGTAAACTTGTTTTGAGTGTTTGGAGTCTTTAAACATTGAAGTTTGGACTTTAGAATTTTTTAAAGCTTTTATTATTTATGTATGGATAAAACAATGTTTATTATTAATTGAAATATGAATTCAAATAGGTTAAAATCGAGCCTGTGCTCGAACAATCTAGCTGCTCGAGGCGAGCTCGAGCGGCTCGAAAAATTGTCGAGCCGAGCTCGAGCATCATTTTTTGAGCTCGATCGAGCTCGAGCTCGAGCTCAAGCCAACCCATGCTCGAGCTCAGCTCGGCTCATTTACACTCCTAGTGGCGGGTACTGCTTGACTACTTTTCATGTGGGTCCCAATACAAGTATTTACATAAAGATTTTATATGTGAGAGTAAAAAATAAGAGTATATGTAGTATTTTTCTATTTTATTTCTATTTAATTCTTTTTTTTTTTTTTTTTTTTTTCTTTTTTTTACGCATCATCAGAAAACGTTGTTTGCGAAAAAATCCAAATTCTCGGAGGTTAGTTTTCTTTTAATTTTAACGCGACAATACATCCATTATATATCAAAGGGATACTACTATTTTTTCTTTTCTTTTATTTTTCTTTTTGTTCCACCAAATCGATAAAAAAGTTCATCGTGAGAATATATACACAGGGTCTTATCTGTGAGACAAGTCAGATCTCAAAAAAGGTCATAAAAGAATTACAGATATAATTGGGTCATTTGTTTCACAGAATTTTGAATTAACTTAAGTAATAGGATTATCTCCATGAAAGCTATGTGAGACTAAAAGAATATAAGATTATCAATGCGTTTGGTTAAAGTAGGAATATAACATTAACATGTTTGTTTAGATATTATAGACTTATATTTTAGATTATATTACATCAATTATATAAATGCCATCATATAAAATGAAAGGTATAAAAATGGTTCATTTTTAAAAATGTTTTGGTAAATTTGTAGTTCTACTAACAAAATAAATAAATAAATGGAAAATTGTACTTTTTGTTCCTAAATTATAGGATAATTGTAGAATTCGTCCATGAGTGTAGATTATACTCACTTTTAGTCTCTAAGTTATCATTGGCATTGCACTTTCATCCTTTCGTGCTCACTTTTCGTCCCTTAGTTATACTAAATTGTAAATTTCGTCCCTAATGTTTTATTAGTAGAGGAACGAAAAGTGCAACGTCAATGATAACTAAGGAATTGAATGAAAAGTGAGTATGACCAACACTTAGGGACGAATTCTACAATTATCCTATAACTTATAGACAAAAATACAATTTTCCCATAAATAAATAATATTATTAACCTAAAAAAAAAAAACAAAAAAAAAAGGTATGTAGAAACACTCCTCGAAGAATTGCTTCAATTAAAACTTGTTGCATCACTCCAATTTCACCCGAAAGTGAATTTTCCCCTTTTCGGTGACTCCAATTCCACCAGAAGGTAAAATTGAAAGGTGAAATAAAAATTAATATTGAGGGGGATTCTAGATTATTAAAAAGTAATATCACATTATCTAAGGCCAATTCGGTAATGAGATTACCCCAATAATCTTTTAACGTGACAATAATCTTTTATTAGCTTCGATTTCATATTACGTGACAATAATCTTTTATTAGCTTCGATTTCATATTACGTACCTTGAATCGAACAAGGTAGGTAATCTAAGATTACCTTTCTCACATTACCATGGTAATGCAAGATACCTTGGACCAAATGCCTCTTAAGTCTTAGATATAATACTTTATATTATAAATGTAGTACTTTATAACAAAACTGTAATAAACAATTTGTATGTAATAAAGTAATAACACAATAAATTTGTAGATATCATCAATATTTTAAACCTTATATATAACACTTTATTGCATAAATGTAATACGGATTACATTATAACAAAACTCTAATAGACAATTTGTATGAAATAAACTAATAACATAGCAGAATTGCATATATAATCAATAATTTAAACCTTATATATAATATTTTATAACAAAAATATAGTACTTTATAGCAAAAATGTAGTAGAGAGTTTGCAAGATAAAAAGTAATAACATAACAGAATTACATATATAACAATCAATATTTTTTTTTGAAAGCCAACCAAAGCCATATATTAATGAATGAACAAAGCAATAGAGTCAGGAGGGACGGAGTCCCAATACAAAGAATGATTCTGATCAAAAGCTACCGAAACTAAAGTATGAGCATGTAAATTAACCGATCTAGAGATAACATTCAACGAGCAATGATTAAATAAAGATATTGACGCCCTACACTGGTCCACAATGACCCCAACATACGATAAGATAGTCGTGGAGCTTGAGTGTAAGGAACTTCGTAACTCTGAATAATCAATATTTTAAGCCTTATATATAATACTTTATAACATAAATGTAATACACATTTCCTAAGGAATAAAGTAATAACATAACAGAATTGCAGATATTATCAATACTTTATAACATAATAAATGTAGTACTTTATAGGAAAATTATAATAGACAATTTACCGTAAATAAACTATCATTACATAGCAAAATTGCATATATAATCAATACATTAAGCCTTAAATATAATACTTTATAACATAGATGTAATACTTTATAGCAAAACTGTAATAGATATTTTGTAGGAAATAATATTACTAAGCTCATATACCACAAGACCTAAATTTTCCTAACCTAACCTGTCTCACAATTGACACCCGTGAAATTGTCTTGGAGAATTTTCCATACACACATATATCAGTGTTGAAAAAGACTTCTTTACAAGGTAGTATCTGTTCTATACTTTCTCAAATATTTTCAGTCCAAAAAATCTAAACCCCACCACCGAGGCTCAAACCTTTAACCATCCACTTGGATGGATAATCCGGATGTCATCACACTACATGATAGTTGGCAACTGATTAGTTTAATTGTAAATTGTATACAACTTTAAAGAATTACAAGTTAAAACTTAATAGTTTAAACACATTTTCATTTTTCACAAAAAAATTGAATACATAAAACATTATTAAAACATTAAAACCACAAAATCACAAGTCACTGCACAATTCAGAAACTTTCAAAGAAAGCTTACAAATTCCAATTTCCAAATCATAGTCCATGACTCCATAGTTCATACAAACTCCAAAAGTTCAAAATAAAGAAATCATCATATCAATAGTCCAAGTCTTCAAATTTCGAAACAAAGTAAATGATAATTAAGTTATTAACAAATAATAATAGTTTCAAAGTGTTCAACAAGACATCAAATTAACTTTTCAAGGTTTTCTTCTCCATCTACCACACGATTTTTATCATCTTCAAACTCAACAGCCACATCAACTTCTTCTTCACTTTCGGATTCAAAGTTATTTTCTTCAAGCTCCCTTAATCTACAACTCCGTCATGGTCTTTGTGCTTCATCACGTTCCTCATCATTATCCACTTCATCTTCAACTTCAACCTCAACTTCATCATTATCAACAATCCAATCTTGTGCCAAACTTGCATCACTAGCAAGTAATATTTCAACATTTTGCTATTTTTCCATTTGTTAATCAAGTTTGCATTAAATTGCTACATGTCCGACATGAATACTGCAAAAGGACAAACATATTTAAGTTATGACTCTTTGTGTAAGGCAGAATCAGACAATGAAAATCTATCAGAAGTACACACTCCTGAATTCTTAAATAGTTTGAGATTGTCGGGTCTTCAATTCCTAATCATTCATTTACTTAAAGGTCGATGCATCTGTTATGTTATTGCGGAACATAATCCGCTTTCTTGGTATTTGTAACAAAGCGTGGCTCATTGTAACACCCCCAAATTTCTTACCTAGTATGAATCTTAGAAATAAAGGTAGATAAAACGGAAATAAAGGAAAAAGGGGAAAGATAAGTACTAAATCACCCAATCATACATCCAACGGGGATGCTACTCCGTAGTCACTCTAAATAGAATAACTACCGGGAAAGTTACTAGATTAACGTCATAAAAAAATATCATAATGCCCAAATTCAACAAACAGAGTCTAAGCTCGAAAAGAGAAGGAAAGACTCACAGGCCTAAGTGTTAACGCACTACTAAACATAAGGATAGAGTAAGTCAACTACAAGAGGATTAACATCAAAAGATCTAGGAACTAGTACAAAACTATACTAATCTAGCTCATTCTGTTCGCTCTCAGCAATCGTCTGTCAGACCTGAAAGGGGTCAAGTAAAAAGTATACAAAAACAACCCGTTAGCACGAATTCTAAGTATAAACCACGTCATCCTGTAAAGTACATATAGGTATAGATTTGGAAAATGGATGGTTTTGCACTTATAACACGTTAAGCCAATCAAGATCATAGATGTAAGTCAAATAGGTTTACAAGTATATAGATATACTTATACAACAATAGTACTTAACTTATAAGTATATAGCTCATATGCAAGTGAAATCCATATACACGTATTTATGCGATTCATACTCAAGAATATATATATATATATATATATATATATATATATATATATATATATACTCATCACCCATTAGCAAGACATGGATCTAGTTGACTTAATAATTCAAGAATAGATAAAGTGACATGTAATCATGAGAACAACCAAATCGTAGAAAGAAGATGAGACATCATATCATGCATAACATTGGAAATCAAGTATCATGACAATCTGACCATAACATGAATCAAATGAGTCAACTCTAGCCATGAAATCAATATCATATACTCCCTCGAGGAAAATGGTAATATATATATATATATATATATATATATATATATATATATATATATATATATATATATATATATATATATATATATATATATACATACATACATACATACACACACACACACACACACACACACATGAGTACTTGCCCCGTGCGATGCACGGACAAAAATTTATAAGTATTGTTGTAATGTTATAATACAAAGCAGAATTAGTTTTATTAAAAATGTAAGTATAGTTATACAATGTAATATTTAAATGTTAAAGACAATACATGCATTCATATTGCTAAGGGTGAATCAACGATTTGGTCCCTCACTTATTCGCGACTTGTCAATGTTGCCCCTGAATCACGTATTCATCGATTTAGTCCCCGAATATAATTGTTTTTCGTCAAATCAGTCCCTATGGCCGTATTCCGTCAAGTCTCAGGCGAGAGCTCCGATTTGCCCTGGGCATTTTGGTCTTTTCACACCTTCTTCTTCATTAATTGGCATTTGGGTGGGTAGTTGGGGCCGCCATTTCTACTCTGCTCTCTGCGAAAAGATGAAGTTCGGGAAGGAACTAGCTTCCCAGATGGTTCAAGAATGGGGGGGAAGCATACATGGATTACAACTTTCTAAAGGGAGTTCTGAAAGATATCTCCAGATTCCGGCGGCGGAACGCCGCAGCGGCGCAATCATCTGTTCCGGCGGCGGCGGCGACGCGCAAGAATTCATTGAAGAGAAGGCTGTCCATGTACCGGGCTTTCAGCGGGTTGACGAATCGATTGGGCAGCCCTAGAGGCACTCCCAGGAGAAATCATGAAGATGAAGAAGTTATACCGGTGAATGCTGTGGAGCAGGCTAGGAAGGGGTTATTGGAGCGCCGCAGTACCAAACAATGTTCCCTATGTCGTCAGAAGCCGGAGGAGAATACGAGCTGGTGTTCTTCAGAAGGCTTGACGATGAATTCAATAAAGTTGTTAGGTTTTAAAGAGAAAAGGTGGAGGAAGTGAGGAAGGAGGAGGATGAGCTAAGCAAGCAAATAGATGCACTTATAGCTCTCCGGATCGTCGTAGAAAAACCTCCGGTGCCGGTGGATATCAATGGCGCCCAGTCCCAGACAAGAACAGGTTCTGCAGTCACTGAAACTAAGTCACATATGGATGCAATACAAGAAATTGAGATGAGTGGTGAAGAGGTTGCAGAAGATGGTGAAGCATCTGCAGGAACTGCGACAATGGCTGATCAGAACAACACAAAGATTGAAGAAGAGAAGACTAACAACTTCACAGATTTCAGGCCTGCTCCATTACACGTGTTGTACGGCGTAAGAGTCAACATCTAGCCTGAAACTCCCATCTCCACTTTGAAGAACATTTTGAAGGCATCAAACTCTGAACTAACGTCGACGACGATGGAATGTCGTCGAAGAAAGATGAATCACTACTGCGGGTGAGCTAATTTCGACGAGCAGAGTAGAGATGGAGCTCCCTCCGGCGAGCTTGAGCTTCTCCGGCGAAGCTTGGTCAGAGTTAAGCTCCGGTGAAAAGACCAAAATGCCCAGGGCAAATCGGAGTTCTCGCCTGAGACTTGACGGAATACGGCCACAGGGACTGATCTGACGAAAAACAATTATTTTCGGGGACTAAATCGATGAATACGTGATTCAGGGGCAACATTGACAAGTCGCGAATAAGTGAGGGACCAAATCGTTGATTCACCCTATTGCTAATCTCATTTGCAATAATGATCTTACAAAGTTAAACGACTGAGAAAGACCCGGACCACCTCGTGGTTTACACACACACAAAAAAAAAAAAAAAAAAAATCTTACAAATCTATTAATATGCATTCACATTTAGATGGGAAAATTTTTTCCCTACTTGATTTTACTTTACTAACTTTCTTTGTAAATTATTAAAAAACTAATCAAAATTACAAACTATTAAAAAGTTAGCGCGTGTGCGCGCGCGCGCGCGCACACACACACACACACACACACACACACACACACACACACACACACACACACACACACACACACATATATATATATATATATATATATATATATATATATATATATACTAACTTAATAAAAAATAAAAGTTTTAATATAACAAATGTTGGGCCAATATATAATTATATTTTTTAAAAATTTCTGGGCCAAACATATCCCATTGCTGCTGCCCATTCACAATTTTGGAGGGAATGCTAGTTTTGGAGGGAAATCTAGGATTCTGTTTTATTATATATATATGTTAAATAATCCTTTATGCGCTATAACTTGAATGCGGAAGCACAATTAACAATGATCGCATGTAAATCAAATCAATCAACTAAACAATGTTCATGATCATGGATTTTTAATTAAATGGAAAAGATAGAACTTACTTGGCTCCATTGAAGAAGTAATCTCTAAATTAAATGAATCAAGAATATAATGCTTCACCTCTCTGATCCGTATTCCTTAATCACCTCCTGATGATACGGAGACTAGAAAACTTAGAGATTTGAAAACTGTTAAGATCCCGTGAGTTTTCGTGGGTATTTATAGATGTGATGAGAAACCCTCTTTCAAGAGGAATGGGGAACCTCCTTTAGGAATAGAAATCCCTTTAGGATTGTGACCTCCTTTTAGGAATAGAAATCCCTTTAGGATTGTGAAACCCATAACCTTATTCATTATACATCTTTTAACCCTTATAAACTTAAATTTTAACAGAATGAGAGGGAGGGAATTTCACCCAGTAATTCCGCCTTTACACATCACTAATCATCAACGTGAGTACCTTATGGAATTACAACCTTTATTATATAAATCATTGTTAGGAAATAATTATTTCTAACAGTCTCCCACTGATTCATATGAGCATGACACCTTAATTATATGAATCAACGTTAGGAATAAATTATTTCTAACAATCTCCCACTTGATTCATATATGCGTGACTTTACAATTTTCAATCCTTAATTTGAGCTCACTTAATATGAAAATGTAAAATTCACCACCTTATCGAACTTTATTAACCGAATCATGGTGGTTACAGGCCTGACATAGCGTCCCGCTCCCTTCCATTTATCACAGTTAATAAAAATTCGAACCGTAATAATAAGGTAAAATCCGAAACTACCTTATTCCTTATGTCTTAAACAAGACCATTGTTATCACTTCTGAATTATGCATAAATAAGTGATCAACATCAACCATAACAAAATCAAAACCTGAATAGATATCTAAGAGTATCATCAACCTGATGTGCTATCAAACATAAATCCATACATGTATGGCAGAGTTAACCGTTATACAAGGACTTTACCAGTATGCCCATCCTTCCAACATGGCCAATGAAGGTCGTGGGCGCCAATCCCTTAGTCAACGGATCCGTGATCATAAGATCAGTGCCAATATGCAATATTGATACTCTTTTGATTTTGTACCTTCTCCTTAACAGACAGAAATTTCAAATCCATGTGCTTGGCACCACTAGTATATCTGTCGTTCTTTGAGAAGAACATAGCTGTTGTATTATCATAATGAATCCTCAATGGTTTGGCTATAGTGTCAACAATGCCCAAACCATAAATGAAATTACGCAGCCATGATTATTGAATTGTAGCCTCAAAGCATGCTACAAATTCTGCCTTTATAGTGGAAGTAGCAATGACAGGCTCCTTCACACTCATCCAAGATATTGCTCCATGAGCAAGTGGAAAAATATATTCGAATGTGGATTTTCGGGTATCCAAACATCCGGCATAGTCTGAACCCGAATAACCTATAACCTCTAGGTTATTCGTTCCTTTTATATGTGAGCATGTGGTCCTTAGTGCCTTGTAAGTATCACAGGACCCTCTTTTGCAGATTTCC